GACCACAGTTCAAGAGGCCCCCTGTCCCGCCAGCCTCTCTCATCTCCCCCTTCCCTGGGCCCCCACCCCACCACTGGGCCCCACACATTTTTCTCTGAGAACTCCCTGACGGGCCAACCCCCAGGCCTTTTCACACGTGGCCTCCCCCTGGCAAACTCCTATGCGTCCCTCAAGGTTCAAACTTTCCCTTCCCTCCCCTCCCCTCCTCGGCAGAGTTCGGGGCTTTCCTCCCCCAGCCCCGCTGCACGCCTCTACAACACAGACCTTATCACCCTAAGCAGCCGAGATCTGGTTTCGTGTCCCATCCCCCATTTTCCCAACTCCACCCCCATCGCTCTGTCCCGGCACCAGCCTGGCACCCAACAGGCATCGGTAAAAAGTCCCAGAGTTCGTGAACCAAGCAGAGCTCTGTGGCCCACTTCCCCCTCTGGGCCAGGCGTCCCACCTTCCTCAGCACCGTCTGTTTAGAAAAGGTGGGTACGAGGCCGACTGAACGTGACCCTCACCCTGACCCTCACCCTCGGGGAGGAGATCGCACAGTGCAGGGAGCTGGGTCAGGGAGAACAGGACTGGGTGAGTCGGGGCATCTCCTCAGGAGACCTCCCTTTCCTTTCTATGAAATGGGACGGCATTTTCTGCTCCATGATAATATTAATGTTATTAATAACAGTGCCACAACGGGTCACAGCAGCAGTGACAGCGAGTAGCTGTTTACCGGGCACTGTGCACCAGAACCAATCTGAGGTCCGCTGTCCAGCAACCTTGTGAGGAAGGTGCCGGGATCCCAGCCGCCCGAGCACTGCCCTGGCACTTAGTGGGTGCCCCACAGACATTTGCCAAACGGATAAATGAGTGAACATAAATGCCTTCTTACACACAGGGGAAACAGACGCTCAGAGGATTGACATAATTTCTCCATAACCCGGTGGAGCTGGGACTTAAGCCCACCTCTGATTCCCAAAGTCGAGCCTTCTAACCAAGGCCACATAACCCGGGACGGGAGAGGCTGGGGCAGACCCAGATCTCTGCCTACCAGCCCCCTTTCTTCCTCAAGCAGATCCTCAGGGAAAGGCAGGCCCCAGAGTGGACCCTGCATGGGAGGGTGTTGGGAGAAAGACACAGGCTTGGGCGGACCCAGGAGATGGGCAGCTGTCCCCGAGCCCCACACCCAGAACAGGTTGATCTGGGAAGGCCACTGAAGGGGTGGGGGGATGGGCTGTGCTCAGCAGGTGCCAAGACCAGTGGCCAGGCGGGTGGGAGAGCAGGCGTCCCCCTTAGGACGCCTGGGAAGGCCCAGACCTTAATTAACCCCGCCTGCCCCACAGCAGGCCCTGGCTCCCAGCTCTGGCCTGGGTGATGGGGTTGCCCTAAGGCCCTGACTTTGCCCACACGCGCCCTTGAA